AAAAAAAAAAAAAAAAAAGAAGACTACGACAAACTTCAGAATATGAACAGAATTCAGAAAACTACTCAGAAACCCCCCCCCCATCCATCCACTTTACCTCACTCCGGCAAGACTTACTGCAGCAGAGCCACCATCTCCGCTGCGGCTATGCCCTATTCCCATCCTACCAGTTAGCCCCCTCACTAGTAGGACACGTGATATCCCATCATCTCCTTCCCCACTCCCCCTGGTTCTTTTTTGGCTTAAAAAGTTGGAGCTACTTAAGAAATGACTACATCCACATTGTCAATATCCATTCCAAATCATGCCAGATGGAGAGTGGTGCAACAAGGCCCTCAATATGATCCATCAACATTGGCTAACAGCTTCTGTTTTTTTTTTTTTTTTCCTTAAGTAGAAGATTCCTGCCACACCACTCTCGAAATGGGAAAAGACAAAATTGTGGCGGGTGCATCTGGCGATGTTCTAGCAAGAAGTTCATTGTCATTTTGCACATTTCGAGAGTGGTGTCGCGAGCCTGAATGTTCCAACCTATCGCTGCTATGTGAGTGCATCCCCACACCACTCTCGAAATGTGACAAAGACACACTATGCAGCTACAATATTGGCTATTAGACACCGCCATCTGGGGTTTTGGGGGGGTTAGGGGGAGGTGCAGTGACTGGCCATTGCTCGGCGCTAGCACCGCCGATTTCCCCCATCGGCAATGCCTGCCCACCTCTCGTCACTGTGATGAGGGACTTGTACAGCCTTGCTCTCGCACCACTGCTGTGGTGCCAACCTACCCCGTGGGCCCCCGTACTACACATACACTAGTGAGAGGATGCGATAGATGAGTACCAGCAAGAAAAATGAGATAGATGAGAGAAGAATATAGCCTTTTTATTAAAAATAAAAATAAAAATCTGGCGGATGCGTTTGACAATGTTCTACTACATAGCGGGCAGTTCATTCTCACATTTTGCACATTTCAAGAGTGGTGTGGCGATGCCCTTAGTGCTGGACATTCTCCGTCTAGCTGGTTGCAGTTGCTGGCCGGTCCTCGATTGCCAGAGTACTCCGTTGACAGTTCAATACCAATTTTACAGTGATACCACCTAGGCCTAGTACGCCTAGGAAGGCGCCCAGAACGGACACAACTATAGTGACCGTTGACGTCTTCTTCGACCTTGAACTTGGGTGGTTGGGTACTGACGAGCCTTCCGAGGGAGGGGCAATAGACGGTGTGATGCGAGAATTGCAAGAAGGGAGGGTGGATTTATTGACAGCGAACTCGTAAATGGACTTTTTGGACCCTACGTATATCAAGCTGCCCTCAGGCGACATGGCTATCCCCGTGAAGGGTAGGCTTGAAGACCTCGTGGCTTGAGAGCTGCTGCTGCTACCCACTAAAGTGTAGATGTAGTTGACCGCGCCGCCAGGGCTGGCAAAATTGATCAGCTGAATCCGTCCGGCGTTTTTTTCGGTAGAAATCAAGTTACATCCATCCGCAGTTAAAGCCAGGCCATCAGGACAGTCCAACTCAACAAGGCCATTGATCTTCTCCGCCTCGCCCGTTCCTAGCCGGAGTCTAAAAATAGCCTTATCCGCACAGCTGGATGCGTAGAGAAGTTTGCGGTCAGCAGAGATGGCATGTCGGCTCAGTCTCTTCTGGCTGACCTGAACACCTGCGGAAACGTTTGCAGCAAAGGGGAGGCGTTCTAGGGTCACTGACTCGTTCAGGTACAAGGGCAGGGTCAGTCTAAAGAGCGCACCCCTTGTGGAGATGTACAAGTAAGGGTGTGTCGGATCCGAGGCGATCGTGTCGAACCCAGTCATGGCAAATTCTTCAGGCAGTCTCCACGATGGAAAAGGAGGTTTGTGCGAGTCTAGGGCAACTGTCACTAGGCTGTTACTTCCCTCATCTCCGTACACAAGGAATCTTCCCTGTCCACCGTACAGCTCCATATCTACAAACGTGAATGAGTAGATATCGGTGTACCTAGTTGGTCTGTCAAAGAGCAAGGTGACAGCGCCAGGATCAGAGTCATTCGATGAGCCCGTCGCCATCCCATAGGTGGCGTAACGACCAAGCTGGAAGAAGATCCGCTCATCCTTCCGTGACAAATCTACATAGTGTATTTCCGCGTCGCTGTCCAGGCCCTCAAAGACTTTACCGAACAGCATGTCACGCCGAAAACTCAGCACCTGGGTATCGAGGAACTGAAAAGAACCTTGGGACTCCACGTCTTGGAGCCGACGAAGAACAGACTCTGGAAAAACTTTGGAGCCCTTCTCACCTGTGTCCTGCTGAATTTCCTTCCTCTGCGTCACATTTTTGGCACAGATTGCTCGGCTTTTGTGTTCGACCTCCGTCACCCGGGGCTGGAAACTGCGGATGTCCAGAGAGACTTCATCGCTGTTCACCTGGGAGATAGATGGCTGCGAGGGGAACTGCAAAATGTAAAATCGTGATGCAGAGGCGACGACAAGGAACGACAAACCAAACCACGTGACGAGAGCTCTCAGGAACTTCGCCCCCGCAGAAGAGCCAAAAATGGCAGGACCTTCCATTTTGGGGAAGTGTGAGTGAAAGAAAACTCAGGCGAGCCGCGAACGGACACCCAGAGCACCAAGGCGAGCTCGTCAAACCTTGAGGATGAAGTTCAGACACTGCCCCTCGGAGGTCTGCCACACATCAGAAAGCCAAAGCATGGCAAGACGTCAGTCACCGGGAATTTGAGGGGGCAAGCAATGACTGAGAACTCATATACGACCACAGGGTGATTGGGAAAAAGAAGCTTACTAGAAAGGAGAGGGGGAGGAAAGAAGAAGGGAGCTAGGGGTATCCTCCTCGGTGTGTATGTGTGTGGGAGTGTACTTGTGTGTATGTGTGTGTTTGTTTGTTTGTGTGTGTGTGTGTGTGTGTGTATGTGTGTGTGTGTGTGTGTGTGTGTGTGTGTGTGTGTGTGTGTGTGTGTCTACTCCAACTTCAATGCACGAAAAACTCTCTCACGCATGAAAATTATACTACCCTGTAAACAAACAACTCATTAGCAATCTTCTGTCAACAGATGCAACAATGTCGTAAGTGAATGAGGCTTGTGCGTTGCCCGTTTGCTCGGCGGAGTACACTGTCCATGATGTTGAAGTTGATAGTTAGTTTTGTTTTCTTGTATTTTCGAGGAACCCATGACGCATTTTGCTCGTTTATGACGACTGACGATATCCCGACTGTGATAGATGTTCTTCGAGCTACGAATTCAAACATTGCATCCCGTGCGTTGATACAGTATTGTTTGATGTGTTGCTTGTACGCTCGCATCATCAAATCTTCATCGTCCCTTCATGGTATCTTGTGTCTCGACATCTATGTTGCAGATACTGTTAGCCCTTAACGATAACTTACAGCAACACATGCAACGGTTGCGCTGCATTTGTGTGGCACCATGACAGACACAAGCTCGTAATCGTAAAACACTTGTTTGTACGTTGCGATCCCTTCGTTCTTGTAAGTACTATTGTGGTCGCATACCTTCACAAGATTGTAAACTTTTCTTATTACACCGTGAGGACATAAGTTCAGTGACGGTTCGTCATAGGCAAAATCCCACGTGATAATTTTGATCGCGTTACAGTGCCTTTTTAGTTGCTCGTATGTCATCTCCGTCCATTTTATCGACGTTCCCCACTTCTCCTATCGTCGTTGTCTGAGCATCTATTTTGAGTCTATACTGTACGGGGCAAAAAAAAAAAACAACATAAATATCACAATTAGGGATGACGTATGGAATAGAACGCACCGCTTGCATAAGTCCGGAGAGTCATTGCCATTCCCCGCATCCCGCATGCATATGCAGGTCATTAGAGAATGATTAGTGTGGTTGCAGAACAACAGTCAATGCGGAGACCGACGCAAGATGGACTGCAAGTTGTTTCGTTTGCCACTTTCGCGCCGTCGAATATGATCGACAATATTGAACTTTGTTATTGTGTTAGTTTTTTAATTTTTTTTTCAGTTTCAATTTTTTCCATCTTCGTTGTGGCATGTGATTAAAGTCGTCGCCACGTGAATGGCGATCCTCGACCTTTCGTGGATGAAGCGCAACATTGCGTCTTTGATTTCGTTGCATATATGTTTGACATATTTCAACGTCGCTCTTTGCATGGTGGTGGTTTGCTCCATTGACGACACCTTCGTTCGTTCAATCCGTGTCGCGCACCGTGTTGGACCACCGTTTGAACAAAATGTCACGCATGTCACTGATCCGTCACGTTCATTCTCCCCCCGCATGCGAACTAACCCCAACCCGTAAAACGCTTTGGTCCATTTGCCACTACCTTGCCTTTCGTTGTTTGCATCAGGCTCAACCGTCTTGGCGAGGTTGTAGAGTTGTAGGCACTCGTCGTCGTACCACAACTCAATCGAGGGCTGCAATTCACACCATTCGACTGCCTCCACGCCGACAACCCTCATTTGCGTTCTTGTTTTTCATGATAGAAGGTCCTCTCATATCACCGGCGTCCCCCATTTCTCATTGCGCTTCCATTCCGACGATGCAGACATTCTAAACACAACGAAAAAATGAGAAGAATGCAGAAGACTTGGTACGACGAGCAGCAGACACCAAGCTTAGATAGTTGCCTACGAATGTTGTGGAAGACGTTTTTCTTTGTGGCGTGTACACCGATGGAAGTCGAATGCGATTTTTGATCTCGAAGTTCGGGTCTGTCCCAGTCTGATCTGGCATAGGATCAGACTCGTCTAAGATTATGTTCTCGAACGCCGACCATGTAATGGCGTAGGTGGTCGTTGTCCGTGGACGCCCGTCATGGCCGTGAAGAGCGTTGACGGTTCCGTCGTCGAGGTCATCGCTGTATTTTTTGAACGTGTTCCTGTCGACGCCCAGTATGAGATACCAAGCAGTGACGCACACAGGGTGCAACTGCACTATCGGTTTGACTGTCGGTTTACGGTCAACTAACGAAATGAAGTTCTGGAGTTATCCACCACTTCCGCCTATCCTTCCCTTTGAGAACGCGGTAGTCACGTCTACACTTCACCACGTCCTCTACTCTCAGTTTAGAAAGACATCAGTACGTGTTGCAACATGTTTTAAGGAGCACGGCCTCACACTCGTCTACGCTACATCTACGTTGGAAAGTGGAGGTGGATGCCGAAGCACTTCGTTTCCTGAGTCTGTACGTGTATTTTCTCTTTCCTTCTGCACCGCACAACATAGACAAGGCAAATATTGTGGTGTCTTCTCCGACTGGCAAGTCGCCGTCTAACGAACGCACAACCTCACCCCCCCCCCCCCCCCCCCCCCTTCATTGCCTTCGCGTGATGGCAACGATAGCATGTCCATGGTAACATACCGGTCGTCAGCGTCCGTTGCCGATGGTGAAATCCCCCAAATAGAAGGTTCCAGAGACCCGCGCGCTGGGCCTGTGCCGGCAGTAGAAGGCAAGCAGCCGACGTCGTTGATGATTTCGTAAAGGCGAAGACGCCGCACGGCGTTGATATTGGAAGATGACATGGGTCGATGACGTGGGCGGTGTGCAGGGTGCCCATGTTTCGACGGTGTGATGATAATATCCAGAGACCGGCTCTCACACGAGTTCTCAGCAGCATCGGGCACGGGTGTGCGAAGAGCCTGCACATAAGGCAGAGAACTGTAGTAACAATTGTCCATCCCCCTTTCCATTGAGTCCTTAACATAGATGGAAATGACTTGTGAGAGGACATAACATAACAGAAGCATCCAAAACAAAAAGACACATGAGAAGGGACGCCAAACCCCCCACCACCCACCTCCGGGCGCAGGAAGGACCCGGACCCTCTCTCCCTCCCCCCCGGCCCCCCCATCGCGATTCTCCCCCCCCAACCCAGGCGGATCAAGAACGCTGGACCACATCCAGCGAGCAAGGGGGTCCGGTGGATCGTGGGGGGTCAGGCGGACGCTGGACCCCCCACGCTCGACGTCAAAGGGGGTCGGACGAATCCGGACCATAGGCAGCATAGGGCGTGTGCCCTCATGAGGAAACAGTGTGTAAAAGGTGGTCCACCTGTGCAAGGAAAGACGGGAATCCAACGGATACGAAACGTCGGACCCCTCATCGAACGCGGGGGTCCTTATCAAACGTGGCAGATTCGCCGGACACCCTCATCGAACGGAAGGGCCCGGCAGACCCGGAACGCTGGACCCCGCGCGACCGATCAAGGGGACCCAGCGGTTCCGGAACGTCAGACCACCGTGTTTGGTTAGGGGGCCCGGCGTGCAGGATCCGCCGGAGCCCCCCGTCGAGCAGGGGGGGTGTTTGGTGAGGGGGTCCGGCATATCCGGAACGCCAGACCCCCATGTTTGGTGAGGGGTCTGGCATTCCGGATCCGCCGGACCCCCGTGTTTGGTGAGGGGGTTCCCGTATGCGAAGTTAAAAAAAAAAAAAAAAAAAAAAGGATCCGGCGTTCTGAATCCGCCGGACCCACTCCTTCGTCGCCGACGGGGGGGGTCAGGCAGGTCCCGAATGCC